TATATTATAAAAATCTTTGATGTAAAATATTGATTCGCTTAAGTAAATATACGTATGAACATAAACACAAAATTAAAAATATGTACATAAGTATACATACAATAAAAGTTGGCTCTTTATTTCCGGGCTGGGGCGAGTCCCGTCGTGCCGGGCCGGGCCGGGCCCCCTTAAAATTCTTAACGTGCGGGCTTGTGCGTGTTTTTGAAAGTTGATTTTGTACTCGTGCCGGGCCGGGCCTGAAAATTTAGGCCCGTGCCCATCTCTACCTGCAGCAGACATGCAGCCCCACACAATGACTCCTCCACCACCATGTACTTAGTACACTCGCAGCAAGATTCTCTGTTTGCGGATCGCTGTTGGGCGTTCTCCACACAGTTTACCGGCCATTACATTGAAAGATGTTGAATTTACTTTCATCCAAGGAGAGTACATTGTCCCAAAAGTCACTTGGCTTGCTAATGTACTCCTTAGCATAGGTTAAATACTTATTTTGGTTCACTTTTGAAATTAGTGGTTTCCGTCTAGCCACACGAGAATTGTAGTAAACTCATGAAGTGCTCTACGGACCAGTGTTGTCCCACATGGGATCTTCCTACGAAATCTGGTAGGTTCTTTTTCCATTTGGTGGGCTGGTAGGCTGTATTGGATTTTGATATTTTCCGCGACAATAATAGAAATTATGTATCTCCAAACACTTTAGCAATCTTGTTTGCACGAATATTTCACCGGAGTGTTTATATAGCGGCGACCGCAAACATGTAAATATATCTGATTAGTAAGTACAAACGTATACCCTTATTATTGCCAATATACAATATAAACAGCCAAGTTATATACTTTGTGCTTACAAGTTAATGAACTGAACTATAAAGTTAGGAAAAACTAACATGTTTGTATGTATATGTTCTGAAGACTGGAGTGCTGAAAAAGGCTTAGCAATAAACCCATTTACCAAAAGAAGGAAAGTCAACTTGACTAAACCCACCTTGGCAGGGACAGAATTTAAGTTCTATGTAGAGGCGAATTATTTTGGAGTAACTCTGAATAAAAGGCTCAATTGGAATTTAATCGAAAGTTACCAACAAAGCTACAAGGACATTTTATGCCTGTCCGAGACTTCATGGAAAGACTTGGGGAATATCACCCAAACTAACGCATTGCTCTTTCAATACGGTAGTAAAACCAATTGATACGTAAGCGTTACTGGCTTGATGGTCAAAAGCTAATCGAGTAAACGGTTGCAAACTTGAGCAAGCTGCCCCCATTGGTCTGCGTGGCCATCACAGTAGCTATGCGCACCTGTCCAACGGATGCCTTTGTTGTCATTACAGGGGTTCCTCCATTGTCTATTTTGATTTAAAAAAAAGTTTTCTGGAGCGCCCTGCGTCTGTCTAATGCAACCAGCATAAAAAGTAGAAACCTTCAGGGTCATTTGTAGGTTCTCAAGCCATTCCTGGATCATCCCGCTATCAAGCTCACGGAAATCATGTTGCCGAAGTTATCTTTCCACAAACCCTACAAGGTAAGAGTTCCTGAAAGGGACTGCTGTGAAAAGATAACAACATGCACGCAGCACGGCGGGAGTACTGGGGCAGGCGTACTTAGACTAAGATTCCAGAAAAATCTGGCAAGGTTCACATACCCAACCATATACCAGGCGGAAGCTTTCGCATTCGAAGTCTGTGTAGAAGGAGTTGCGAAGAATCTCAGATTGCAGTCTACTAGCGGAAATCAAAAGGAATCAGACAATCAAAGATATCCATGATTCCTTCCAGATGGTTCTTAGAATTCTTACTTACCGCCTGACAGTACACTGCAAGTTAAGGTACCATTTGAATAAAATGAGGCTTTATGTAGAGACAGACTACAGGTTTTGTGGGCTGGTGGAGGAAACTCCAAATCATATGACACGAACGTATCTTGAATTGCAGACTGATACACCTTGGGGAAAGATTGTCTTATCCACTTAAAATTTTAAAGATAGGCAAACTGCTCCAAACTGCTTAACTTCTTAAAAAGCATAAGGTTGGGGTGATTAGAATTCCGGTTTAGCGCAGGTCGCGGTGCGAGTATTCCCGCTGTAATCTATGCTTATTACATAAAGAGAAGTCCCTTTTTTTGTAACAGATAATCTCGGGAACGGCATGTCCGATATTCATTAAATTTTGTATATAGTATATACTATATATATATATAAATACATAGCTTTCAGCAACCAGTTGAATCAGGAACCGATCTATTCGAAAAAATCGTATTTATGGTCCAATTTGCTTGAAATTCGGTACACGTATTAACTATACTGGAATGGAATGGAATTTTGGGTGGCCGGAAAAAAACAAAAACCATGTTTTCCAAGCCCTCAAGCAGAATTCCCCATTGTGCTTAGGACCAGGAGATAGGGTTTAGAGGAAAGGTATATACGGGGTGGGAATTCATTGCTCCTCTGCAAACTTACCAGACTCCTTTATGAATTTTAGCAGATTTTTGAGGGAAAGGAAATGTACCTCATCCATTTTCAGTATATCCCATCCGATATATCCGATAGTTTAGATAATCGATAGTCACAAGCATCGATAGTATCGATGCTATCCAAAATTTCGACCCTATCGATAGTTTTGATTAAAAAGTCCAAAAATTAAACACAATCACTTTTATTGAAAATGAGATCAGCATTGCTAAAATATGTTCATATTTTTGTTAAGGAACAAAAGGTTATCAACTATTTTTGGCTTCAAGCAGCATTTTCGTTTTGAAATATGTATGTTACTGAATAATATGAGTGAAAACTATCGATAGTACTTACAAAACCATCGATGTTTTCGATATTCAAAAACCATCGATACTATCGATAGTGCTATCGATAGTTTTCCAGCTTTAAGTCTGGCGAAGGCCGGACAGCGGCAGAGAAAATGTTCTGTTCTATCCTCGTCCTCCAAACACACGATGTACACAGTGGATCGGCGATGATGCCTATGGTGACCATTTGTCGTCCCCATGGATTGTGCGCCATAATCAGCCCTATCAGGGCTCGTAGATCACTCCTTCTTCGTCTGAGAAGAAATTTTGCTACCACCCTGTCAGGCCTTTTTTAGGAAACACTTAGTTTTATTGCAGATGTCAATAATACACCAGGGGCTCTCATGAGTTTTGTTTATGAGATCCTTGATGCACCCGATCGTTCCCGCTATGCTTGGCCCTAAAATTGGCTCAGGAACAATTGGGCGCGTTATAGTTCATACAATCTTGAAGCGGAAATATTTGAAAGTGTATGAACTAAAGGTGGGCAGGATAGTAGTGTCCTGGCACCCAACCCACACAAGCTGAACTTCATTCTATCTGGCAACGGAGTTCAGCCCAAACTTTCTAGAGGTGGCAGATATTTGCGTACCTGTGACTTTGTCACGGTTACTCAAAAGTCATGGGTAACTGCTGTGACAACTTCCAAAAAGTCACCGTGACAGACTGTGACAAAGG